AAGGCCTAACGTCCTTTGAGCCGATAATCTTGCGTACGACAGTTCATAATTTTGGCGTGGCAGCAGCGAATGACTATTTGTAAGGATGAGTCTCCCCATCAACCTGCATATGTCGGTGAACTCATATTGCAGTACACGACGAACTGATGTGGGAGTTCACAATATAAGCTGTTTGCTTGGTGGTTTTACTTATCACTCAGGATGAACCCGAGAACTGATCCGGAAGCTCAGTGTAGCAGTTACCGTGGCAATGATAGGCTGAAATTCTCCAAGTATCAGCGACTAGCCACAGACACCTGTCCTACGAGGACGGTGGTAATAGGGGTTTCACGGGTGGAGGGTAAGGTATGAAAAGATAGGGTAAGTATGTAAGGTATTCGTTTTGGTGTCGTAAAGTTTTTAATACAGTAACATATAGCAACGACGACGAAGAGGTACAATTTAAAAAAAAACAATAAATGGCGGTCAAAGAATAAACCAATTTAAGTTAACCGTCAGTAAATAGTCTGCATCGGGAGAGGTTGTGGTGAGATACCGGACTAATTTGCATTTGACAATTTAATCTCGTTTTCTTTGACCGGATTCCTCGTTTGAATGTTACGAGAAACGACACACCTTTGCAGCCCGCCTTGCTGGCCTGCGTTGCTGTCGCGCACTGTTTTCAGTTATACTTGCTGTCTTTAAGGCTAGGGGCTCGCGAGATATAACTCGCTAGTTCTTGAGAACATTAACATCCTCATCAAGGTAACCAGGGCAAGTCCAACCAACGAGAATGGATAAAAATATGTGAGGGAGCTCATCGCATTGAAATTTAGTGTACGGTACTGCATTGTCAATGAACGCTATGCCAACGATATCTGATTAAGTGGGTTTTCATAATGGAAATCAAAAACGAAAATAATGGCAAGGCGAAAAGCAACGTCAGCGATGATGGAGAGAAGCCAAACGATCGCTTCCCAACGGTATGAAGTAGGGAATAAGATGAACGAACGAATTGACACGATGCTTTCTGATATGCCTCAGAACAGCCAATAGTAGGTAATGATGAGGCGAAGAGCAGCGTCCACGATGAAGGAGTGAAGCCAAGCGATCGCTTCCCAATGGTATGAACTAGGGTCTACGATGAACGACCAAAACGATACGATGCTTTCTAAAATATCTCAACGGTAGTCTGAAGGCCCCAAGTACTAGCGACTGGCCACAGGCACCTGTCTGCAACAG